TACAAGCACAAATACATTTCACTAAATACCTAACTGCAAAATGTTCAAACTTACACCAAAGAAAATACCAAATGCAAAAAATACATCCAAAACAAAAAATGAAAGCATAGTATAACATGTGGTAAATCTTACCATCTAAATCACTATAATAATTAAAGAAAAGGGCGAATATCAAAATCTTCATTGAGACCATTAGGAGATAAAGTATTCAAAGTATAAATCCAATATGCTTCACGTTTTAAAAGTAGATTGTGAATATCACCCCCTCTTTGAGGTAATTTAACTGCTTCGATGCCAATATACTGTAGAGTCGAAACCAAGTTTAAACAATATACAATATATTGGCACTTTTATGTGATTTGCTTTTTGCCCTTTTCTTACATGATTTGTTGAATGCCCTGACTTTTTTTTTACTTTTTTTTTTTTGTGTGTGTGGTCATGTGGGCAATCCCTGACTTTTTTTTTTCTTTTGTGGTCATGTGGGCAATCATGTGATTTAGTGTTGTGTATATAAGGGCGTTGTCATGTATGTACATTGTCTGATGAAGAGCGTTTATGCTCGAAACGTCACCTGTGGTGAGAACATAATTAAATACTTCTCTATCTCTGGAGCTGTGGTGTGCCTACTTTGATGTTTTTGTTCTTATTTTTGTGTTGTAGAGCACCCACGTTGAGCTTTTTTGGCCTAATTGATGTGCACTCTTGGACTGTTTTTTGTAAAATATATTTTATTAAAATATTTTTTATGTAAAATTGTGTATATTTTATATATGTACTTATATATTTCCTTAAAGTCCACTTATAATGTAAGTAATTATATGTAATTTAATTATATTTGAATTCTATAAACATCTCATCTATACATTTTACTTTTAATATTGTTATAGAATTATATATGTATAATAAATTTTTATAATACAGTATATATCCTCTAGAGCAGAGGTCGGGAACCTATGTGGCTCACCAGATCTCTCACCCTTTACTAACAAATTATCTATTACACAAATTACTATCACTAGAGATCAGCAATTCCTTTGTTGTAATATATATATATATATATATATTTGTTTGGTTTTTTTGGCTCTTTCGGAAAAATGCATTAACCAAAAATAAAAAAAAATGGCTCTTTGGTCAAAAAAGGTTCGCGACCCCTGCTCTAGAGTTTCAAAAGAGATCTCGACAGTGCTTCAAGCTGTGCTCAGATTTACCAAAATATTATGCAATCAGAAGCCAGAGATCTCAATATGAACTCGAATATTTCTCATCAGCATTCACTCTCCACATTCATTTTATAGCTTTTACTAGATGAGAAATATTGACTATTTTTTGATAAGTTGATCATTGTGATATCTGAACAGTATTTTCTCTCTGTCAGTGTTTCAGAGTTGTTGATGGGAGAGATTGACAGCACAACTCTTCTGTCCCTGCCGCCGACAGAAAAGAGTAGGGTGAGTGAGTGTGTGTGTGTGTGTGTGAGTGTGAGTGTGTGTGTGTGAGTGTGAGTGTGTGTGTGTGAGTGTGAGTGTGTGTGTGTGAGTGTGAGTGTGTGTGTGTGAGTGTGAGTGTGTGTGTGTGAGTGTGAGTGTGTGTGTGTGAGTGTGAGTGTGTGTGTGTGAGTGTGAGTGTGTGTGTGTGAGTGTGAGTGTGTGTGTGTGAGTGTGAGTGTGTGTGTGTGTGTGTGCGGATGTTGTTGGAAACGTGTGTGTGTGGGTCGCTTCCTGCGTTGTCTTGCAAGCATATTGTTTCCTCCGCACCTCTATACAGACCCGACAGAGTCCCTGACAACGTGAGTCTTCAAGAAACACTTCTTAGAATGACACTGATGACAAATTAATCATCTTAATGTCCAGAAGAGACACTCAAATCATTTCCCAGAACTACAACAACTAGAAGTCTCACTTCCTTCATTAAAATGCACTTTAGTTGTTGAACAGTGTTTGTCATGCTACTTTAGCGATTACTCATTATTTAAAGCAGTTCAGTTTTAGTCAAGAAACTTTTTTAAAGAAGGACTGCACTACAAGCTAATAACAAAAGTAGCTTAGTAACTGGAAGATACTTAAAAGGGCAATGTTATTTTAATGTAAATGTAACTCTTCAATGATATAATACATTTATTTTTGGTGCAAAAACAGTGAGGGTTTTGGAGTAAATAAGCAGTTAGATTGACAACATTAATGTGAACAGATAAACTGTTAAATATAAAAAATTATTAGTAAGAAAATATTAATTTTTTATCAAATATTATAATAATATATTATTAAAGATTTTAAAGATTATATATAATTTTTATTTATTTATTGTTTGTAAAAACAGTATTGTTAAATTATTGTATACAATTCATTGAAGTATTGTTATTACAACTATTTTTTAAATCTTATTATTTTTGAGTTAGCCTTTGATTCTGATGTCGTAAAATAATAAATTAATAAACAGTTGAATTATTTACTAAAATATACCCTAACTAAAACATAGAAATGTACAGCAGGATTTAACTAAATATTTAATATTTATAATAAATGTATAATAATATAATAAATATTCATGCAAATATATAATCATTTTTTACATTCATTCTAGCTCAGGGTTTCCTGGACTGAGATTTTGAGTTGATGAAAAGCTCATTAATTAAATCATAAAAATATAAAATTAAAATAAATGAACAATTTAGCAGTCAAAATAAAACAAAGAAAAAAGATTAAATGTTTTATTTGATTACCTACGTGTCATGTGACCATTAACCAACATCAAAGAATCAAATGTGTTGTTAAATTATTGAAAGATTAACTTTAAAATCTCAGGACGACTTCAAGAAAGTAGTTTAGGTCAAAGGGATTCGGCTGACAAAAACGCTGCATTGCATATGATGGCGAGAGTATTTTAGGAGTGTGCGCTCAGTTACTGCCTCCTCAATAGTACAAGATATAAGGTGAAGTAATACTACAATGGAAGAGCCAAAACTACCCAACAGCCCTCAGAGAAAGAAGTGATATAAACTCTACTACAATCTCACCACATGTATCTGACTTTAACCTCCGCCTCAAAATCCACACCATTTAATTTCATAATGCACATTATTTTTTCCTTTAAATGTCATAACTAGCTGTCCCTTTGCTGTGTGTGTTTAGTCGATGGAGGACCTGTACAGGGTGTCGTCAGGTCAGGGTCCTGAAGGAGGAGGAAAATACGACCATCAGGACTGCAGTGAGTGAATGCCTCTTTTATTGTCTTTAGTAATGCATAGAATGGCATACAGACTACTATTTTTGAAAGTACGTAGAATGCATAGGGTGCCCCATAGGCAAATGTTTCTGTATGCACAGAACACAATACATTTTCAAGAGTGTGCAGTGTACAGCAGAGCACACTGCGTGAGATACTGAGATACCATTTCTAGTGTAATGAACGGACATGAAGGGATATCAGCTGTGATTTTTAACTGAGAGCTGAGAACTTTAATCTCCTGCTTGACTTCTAATTTGAGGTATATATATATATATATATATATATATAGGCCTGTCACGATAACACTGAATATATAATCATAATGTAACAGCATAATAATGCAAGAAGGCCTACACACTTCCAAATGACAACACACTTTTAATTTTTAAGAATATTTAGATCATGGAAATTAAGTATCAAAATATTAGATACCTTAAAAAACTTGAATAAATAGTGAATAAACATTTTCTAACAAAAAGTGCTAAGTAGAAAAAAAGAAAAATGCACAAAGAACTTGTATGGAGATTTTTCCATCTACAGATTTTTCCCTGACCTTCTCTGTAAATTAAGGGTGCACACTATTGCTGGAAAACACAATCACTACTTAGCAGTCAGATGTCCGTCAGATCCCTAAACAAGACCATATCGGCAGATGAAACTTTTTTTGTTGAAGCATTTTTTAAAATTTGAACTAGCACCTCATGACTACACACGTTATGTACGAGAAGCTGCAGAAGACACAGGCACAAGTGGAATGTACAAAACATGGTGACATTAATTTTTAAGTACATATAATGGGCGATATATTGCATCACCAAAAATGATTGAGGTCATGTACATATATTGCGCGATAAGTCGATATATTGATTATTGCGACAGGCCTATATATATATATATATATATATATATTGAGGGTTGGTATATTTTAGCATATAATGTGAACAGATAAACAGTTCAATATTGAAAAAGTTTGTCCTGGAAAAAAGATTGAAAAATTTTATATAATATAATATAAAATAATACTTATTTATTTATTCTTTTTTGTTTATTTATTTTTATTTGTTTTTGTTAGTTTATAAAATAAATGGTTCAATTATTGCATACAATTCATTGAAAATTAATTGGATGTAATAATTTAAGTTTATGTAATATCTATCTATCTATCTATCTATATTTTTAAAACACAAAATTATTAAAAAAATCGCAAAATAACAATTTATTTCTGTGATAATAACCGGACATCACTCAAATGAATTATAATGTGGTCATGTGACAACAATGTAGTGTACTACTATTTATTTTGAAACATTTATTTTTACATCTGCATACTTGCATAGAATTTATTCACAGTAAAACAGTATATACGGCTCAGTATGTAGTATGCATTACTCTCGTATTCCATTCGGAACACAGCTGTTGTATATTTTTCATTTAAATTTGAAGTGTTGTTTGTTCATGTATGGGATGGCTGATGTTTACCGTGTGTGTCAGCAGTGAGTCCACGGGAAGTTGATATTCTCCTGCAGCGCAGTGAAGGCGGCGTGGACTCGGCTCTCAATTACGCCAAATCTATCGCCAAATACATGAAGGACATCATCAGCTACGTAGACAAGAGAATCGCTCTCGGTAATGACATTTCCTTCACCTGTTTGGTGATTTTTGAAATGCATGTGTCTGTCTCTCTTTTAAATGGATCCCGGTAATATATTCTTAATATAAATGCATTTCAAACTCATCCACCTGGACTGGGTCATTTTATTTGTTCTTTACGACTCTATTTTCCACTATATTGTCAACAGAGAATGAGTTTTCTAAAGGTCTTCAAAGACTCTACCAGTCCTGCAAACAAAACATCATACAGGTAATCCGTGTGCTTCCCTTGTGCTTGTTTGTTTGTGTTTTGCAGATTGAAATAACACTAGTGTTTATGTTGTAAAATAGTCTCCAAAAATATTTGTCATCAAGGTCAAAAACATCTTAAAAGACACCTTAAAAGTCATTAAAACAATCATATAAATATATTAATATACAACTTACACAGTATATTTTAAGTACATTGAATGTAGCGTACAAGTCATATAGAGTATTTTCAAATTATTTAAGATCATTTTATGGTGTTTTTAGCCATTTTTGCACCCTATCAGGCCCAATTACTGTTGAGTCTTGTTTAATTGAAAAAAAAAGCAGCGTGAACATCCTTAAAAGGGGTCATATGATGCGATTTAAATTTTTCCTTTCTCTTTGGAGTGTTACAAGCTCTTGGTGCATAAAGAAGATCTGTAAAGTTGCAAAGACTAAAGTCTCAAATCCAAAGAGATATTCTTTATAAAAGTTAAGAGTCAGCCACGCCTACCTAAAACGGCTCGTTCTAACACGCCCCCACATATCTACGTCGCTATGTGGGAAGATTTGCATAACGCCGCCCAAATGTTCACGCAAAGAAAGAAGGTGTAACTTTTATTCTCGCTGTAGTATTGTTGTTGCCGCCGCCGCCATGTCGTGAAGAGATGACGGATATCGTCCTCTTCCAAAAGAGGACGATATCCGATATTCGTCATGCCTGGAGCTGATCCGTGCTGATCGCTGAGG